GTCCTCTTCTGGAGGGCGGACGTGACGCTCATGTCCCTCACAGGATTGCTCTGAGGCACCAGGAGCAGTCTGACGCAGCAGGGCTCTCCAAGCCAGTGAACTCAGGTGAGGAATAATTAAAACGAGTGCTTTTCTGCTGGTGACAGTCTCAAGTGAGTTTTTCCCGAAATCGGTGAGGCTTCTAGTGTCCGGGGGCAGCCCCTCCCCTCCCCCCTCCCTGCCCAGCACTGTTGTGATGCTTACCTTGACACATGCTTGTCAACGTGGGCACGGGAAGGTGCCCATGGCATTTAGCAAAGCAAAATAAATGGTTCCTCCTGCCCGTCTCAGAAGTCCTCCTGTCCCCAGGGACCGAGAGGCTGAAGCGTCCCTCAGTCACCTCTCCAGGACACAGGAAGATAAATACAAACCAGAGGCCCGCGTCTGCGAGGCCCAGGAAGGCTGGCAGGGTGGGCCGGGCTGACTGGGGTAAAGGTGCCCCTGGTGAAGTTCAGTACTGCTGCCGCCGTGCCACCCAGGGAGCCCTCCCCTCCCTGGGTTCCCGCGTGTGCACTCGCCCTTCCCGCTGCCCCAGCCTCGCGGTCTGCCCTCTTGTACAGGCACAAGCCACCATCTTCTGCTCCCCAACGCCCCTCTTCTGCTCCACCCCTCTGGTCAAGATCGCCCCTGTTCCTGTGACACATACGCAGGAAGGCACCCCCACAGCCTGGCGGGGTGCAAGAGTGGGCGGGACACTGGCAGCCCAGATGAGCAGAAAGAAGATCTGGCCACCAAGATACGCATCATGCTTCCCGGTGTCAGAAGGTGGACAGGGTCCGCCTGAGTAAGTGCCCGTGGGTGACAGGCCATCAGAGCAGGGAGTCAGATGAATATGGGAAGTCACCTCTATGGGGTCTCTGTCCTCACATGTAAAACAGGAATAATATGAGGATTAAGTGAGGTCTTACACAGAGCGCCTGGTAAGCACAGTGTCAGGGATTTAGTAGTGTAATTATTATCATCTTCTTCACCATCACCACCATCACCACCACCACCA